TCTGGCTTGTCTTCTGCACACTGTAAGATCTTCAGCTCCTTTTATCAATTATGACTTTTTAGCATAGAGTTAAGAGCTGTAGAAAAAAATTAATGTTTATTTATCTATCATTTAGATCTAGATTATAAAACAGATATTTCATGTTCAGGTCCTGATAATTTCTGTAATTTCATGTACACTACTAGCATCCTATTCGTAGTTATGGAACTACATGCTATACACACTATGCTTGAGTCAAAGGCACAAGTGCCAACAGTGGGCACAATCCCCACTCTCAGAGAGCACCCAGTTCATTGGAGCAGATAGAAATCATCACAACAGGAAAGTTCTAGATGTATGGCAACTACTAGACTATGGAGACTTGGGCTTTTATGTGTGGAGGTGAATTCTACACTGAAACCTGAGCTTGAGTAGTCTGTCAGGGGAAGGTGTGCAGGTGATGGGATGTGGTGAGAGATGATGGTCTTGGTGGCAGTGGCTGGAGGGGTGAGCAATGTAGGCTGAAGAAGAGCACATGAGAAGGTGCCGGTGAGAGACGTCTAATGAGAGAGGCCCACATGGTTGAGTGTGTAGTGTGAAGAAAGGCGTATGAGAGGAGACCAGCAAACTAGCAATCAAGGCTTCGGCACTGGGGTGAGTTGTCAGACTTTGTTGAGGATCAAAGGAAAACCATGTCACGTTTTAAGCAGTATAGATTTGTGATCAGATTGTTAAAGAGATCTCCATGTCTGCCATGTGAAAAACTTCAAATATGCTTATCCTAACGGAAATATTTTTTTAAAAAGCGCAATTGCCCATCTTTACGCCTGATTTTCATGGCCTCCAAAAGTCAGATGAAGGTTAAGCTTTATTGATAAGGAATGAAAAGTAAAATGCTATTTTAGATGGATAATTAGGTTATTCAGGGACAAAGTGTAGAAAGATTGTTTTTCAGCAATGTTTTTCCTCATTCCAGGCATTTGAATTTTGAAATCCAACAAAAACATGAACAAAGGCACTTTTCAATTTCTAGGACAAATGTCACAAATAAAATAAATGGAGCACCAAAGAAATTTTCTGAGGCCCAGAGAGCAGGGTAGGCTGCATGTAGTGGAGTTTGTGGGTGTTGGTATGCTGAAAATTCAACTACTTCTCTGTTGACTTTGAGTTTTTTTGTTTTTTTTTCCTGTACTGGGAATTGAAGTCAACTTTGAAAGAAATTGAGCAGGACCTAAATTCAAGTCCTAGAGGTGTGTGACAATGCCTTGATAATCACCAGTCCTAGCAAATGCAAAATTAGATTAGCATTACAAATAGACAAAATTAATATTTGAAAGGCCTAAAAACATATTTTTAAATTTTAGTCTTTAGTTACTCAACAAGTATCCACGTTTGTTGACATTGCCTTGTGAAAGGAATAGTGCTAGGTGCAGACATAGAAGGATGAAGAGGAACAGCCATCTGTAGGAGTTCATTCTTTCTACACACATCACTTTTAAATACAAAGCAATCCTATGGTTTCTTAGGAGATTTAACAGAACAGATCTAATCTTATCCTCACGAATGAAATATTCTTCCTAAGTTATTTATATAACAGTTGATCCATGACTCCAGTAGGCATGTTTTCAGAAAGAAAAGTTGGGCCATGTGATGTGAAAAGTATATACATGGGACAGTGGAAGACAATTTTTGAAATCATAGCTGCCCATGGAAATTTTAGGATGCACTGCCTTTTATTGGAGCCTCTACACACAGTCCAAAAGGGCTCCACCGTGATTTGCAAAAGGCAGAGATAACTCTGAAATGTGCCACCGTGGCCCTCACAGCACCATATCCAGCATGAAATGACAAGCACATGCTATACATGGAAACTGATTGATTTTCACTTTCTACTATGATTTATATCATTATTCACTTTCTATTGTAGTCTTTTTGGGGAGGCTTGGTTGCCATTAGTGTTTTCTGCCAATCAAATCTTGTTCCTTTCCTCACTTACTCTTTTTTTCATATCTGAATGACAGTAGAAGAATCAGATAAGAAGTTTCCATATAAAAAAACAAATTGCAGAACATATGACCTTTAGCCAACATTGTGATCATATGCTTCTTTTAAAAACAGTCTGGGGCCAGGGATTTAACTCAGTGGTTCAGTCACTTGCCGCACAAGCACAAGGATGTGAGTTCAATCCCCAGTACCAATAAATAAATAAATAAATAAATAAATAAATAAATAAATAAGAATTAAAACACAAAACAAGGTCTGTAGTTAGAATTAACACATCAATAAAATGTGATATTTGAATTTTTTCAAAGAAAAGCCATAAATTAATTATAATGGAAATTCATTCTCAACGCTTAGTGTAGAATAATTTCTTTATAGAAATGACTGAGTATTTATAAATTAACTTATTCCAAGTGTCCATTTAGATTACAGTCTTACTTTAATAATATGGGGTCTCAATACCTTCCTAATTTGTGGGGTTTGTTGTCGTTTTTCCTAGCAGGAATTTATTTCACAAGAAATTCTGGATTTATACACATATTAGGACACTGATGCCAATTCCTTTTATCTAGGAAGTTAGATTTTTATATTAAAAAGAGCATTTCTTTTTGCCTTATGGCAAACATTTAGCAGGTATTATTAGAGGCCAGGCATAGATTTAGATTCTGAAATGTCTAAACATCAGATCATAGTTTTCCTAGATGAGGAAGCATACCAAATATATATATGTATATATATGAAATGCATATATTTCTCAGATGACATGAGCAGAATAGGAACACAGAAGACAGCATTACTGAGGAAATAACTCTGAGCTGAAAAAATGATAGTTTGTTAGATGAAGGCGAGGAAAGATAGAAGAAATAGCATCACATGCCAGCTTCATGAAAGAGCCCAATGTCTCATGGGCTTACAACTTCCATAAATGAGTTTTAAGTGGGATACAAGTGGAACACAAACCTTCAAACAATAGCAAATATCATTGATGAGAGGGTTGAAATGGTGTACATTTCTTGAAAAAGAATAAAACAAAGACTTGTGTAAGAAAAGATGTCCATCAGAACATTATTTATTTCAAAAGATCAGAATAACCTAAATCCCAATGATAAGGAGAAATAAAAGTTATAGTGTATCCACATGATAGGATATTGAAAGGCCATAGAAAGAAAGATACTTAAAAAATAGTTAGAAGTGCAAAAATTGCTTGTTATATAATGCTGAATGGAAAAAGAAAACAGTGATCCCCGAAGGAAATAATAAGTAAATGTGCTCTTACTTGTGACAAAGCTGAAAGCTACTGCATAGAATTGCCTTGGGGGTTTACGTTCCCTAAGAATACAACTCTTCAGAAGCAAATAGAATTAGATGAGGGAGAGAATCAGGAGAGGCCTTTTCTCATATAGGCCTGGGAAATGATTGTTTCCCATTAAGATATAGGCTCTCTTTTTCTTATTTTTCAAAGTCATGTCACACACAACCCAACTTTCATTCTTTTCACAGATGCTGGGCTCTGAATCTTGTTGCCAGAAAAAATTCCACAGCATTATGCTGTTATGCTTTTCTAAAGCATTTTACAAGCAGAGTGAAGAGTTTCACATTTCTAAAATATCTAAGTTGCATAACATGGTCAAATTATTTTAACTTGTGAAAACACGTGTTTAGTGTTATTATTTTTTTTATAGTGATACACATTACAAGATTTACCATTGAAAACATTTTAAAGTATAAGTTTTGGTGGCAATGAATCTTCCACAAAATTATACAATATCACTACACCCTAGTTCCAGAAATTTTTTGCCATCCTAAATGGAAACCTTGTGTGTTACAGTTTTGAAGTCAGAAGATGCATAGCTGGTCATGGTAAAGATGTTTTCAGAAAATCTCTGTAATTCTTCCCCTCTGAAATTAAGAAGATACCATAGACCCTCAAGTTGTAACTGTTGTGACATATGAATAACTTGGGTATGACTGGAATTTTAGTTTTAGCTTGAGTTAAGACCCCAAATGCTGGCTGCTTATGTTTCCAGATGGCCTCAGACACAGATTTAACCCTTACAGAGTTCTGGAAGAAACATTACAACATCCTTTCCTGTGTGAGGTTAACTGAGGAATCCTGGGCCAATGTCTTTTTAAGGACACTGAGATCAGCCTGGAAAAAAGTGTGGCCTAAAATTGTATCAGAGAAAGACTGAAGGCAATTGACCAACTTGAGTTACAACTAGCCTGCGGGAACAAATTGAATTTGAAAGTCAAGGGTCCACTGCAATTTTTTGCAGTTATCAGTTGCAACTTTCAGAAACTATCCATCGGAAATCACATCTATCTTAGTCACTTTCTTGTTAATGAGACACAATACCTGATACCTGCAACTTAAAGGAAGAGAGGCTATCTGGGCTCAATGTGTTTTAACCCTTAAATGCCTAGTGTCCCGTTTTTGGAATGCCTATACCAATGGAACATGATAAAATGTTTTCTCTTCAAATTCTTATTCCTTTAATTTTTCTAGGTAGCATACATGAATTTATCGCAAAAATTCAAAAAAAATTTCAACCTTTGGCATAATGGTTAAGAGGTTTCAGTCCATAGTCTATAGGCTCCAAGGCAGAAATGATGTAGGGGAAGAGCCTTGGTGCGAGAAAGCTGCTCTTGTCATGGTGGCCAGAAAGCAGGGAGAGAAGGGAGGAGCCAGGAAAGGAGATATATCCTTTCAGGTCTTGCCCTCAGTGATCTGCGTCTTCCAAGCAGGCCCCATCTCCCAACAGAAACTTGTCCATAATGCCTACCCCCATGATTCAGTCACCTTCCAAAAGCCCTACCTATGAGTGTGTGAGACCTTCAGGAGACTTTTTAAAAAAAAAAAAAATCTAAACCATAACAACTTCTGATCTATCTTTACCAGAAACTGAATTCAATTAGGTGACATTATTCCAATATAAATATCTGATTAAAACTGAAAGTATTAAAATATGACTATACACACAAGCTATTGAATACAACTCAATAATAGTTTATACACTTACACTTTGTTCCCTCCTGTTGATAAAACATCACTTAAATATTTGTGTTGTCTCTTCAAAAGCAAATAGCTGAGCAGTACTCTGGGGCCGTAGCTATGAAAGCACTTGTGCTGATGATTTCCCTTTTTCAGGGAGTGGATTACTCATTAGCCCATGCTAGAAACCTGGGTAATGACCTCTGCTTATTTAACCCTTATTCATTTGACACAAATATTTATTGAGTGTTTCGCACTGTCCCATATGCTACTCAAGACTCAGTCTATACAATAAGGAACTAGATTCATAGGGACCTATACTTCACCCAAATTGTGTATTTCACTCATTTACAGTTACTTTTAAAGTCTAGTCACTGTGACTGCTGAAAATCCAAGTTAATTTTCTCTCTTAGTCTGCTGTTCTGGAGATGTCTCCTATTTCTCTGCTTTCATTTATTCAATATAAAATGACCAGGTAATATACTGAGCCAGGATTGTGCTAGGGGAGAGGGGGAAACCACAACTAGCAAGACTGGTAAAAAGAGATCATTCAGCCTAGTAAAAGGATGGCTACTTAATAAACACATTCAATAAAGTGTAGAGAGAGTAGATGTATAGGGTATAATGGAAGAATTGTGTGTGTGTGTGTGTGTGTGTGTGTGTGTGTGTGTGTGTGGTTTCATTTACTCAGGGAGGTGAAGGACCACATTTCTGAGAAAGTGAAAGTCAGGATAAGATATGAATGAAAGGCATAAATTAGTTTGTTAATAATTTAAAACAATTTTAGTTTTAATATTTCATGTAAATTGACACTTGGCTCCCTTTATGCAAAATGCCAGGGTGTTAAATCAGAGTCATTTAGTCAAACATTGAGTAATATACTGTCAATATCCTCAGGCATCTCTTCTAATTCCATGAGTTTCCACAACAAGGGATATTTCTGGTCCTAATATAGAACAGAGGGCAATGGCCACTCAGTCAGGTCAAGAGCCTTGGGGTCACTTCTGACTCTTCTTTTTTCACAGCTCACATTTAATTAACCAGGAATTCTGTTGGCTTTCATATCAAGATAGATACAGGAGAAAAATCTAACTACTTTTATCACCACCACTAGTGTTTAAGCAATCATTAATGTCTTGCTTGGATTATGGAGATCCTCCCACTGACCCTTGCTACCCATCCCTTCATGGTCTATTCTCAACACCACTCAAAAA